TTTTGCGATACGCGGGCCTCTCACTGCTGTGGCCTCTCCCGTTGCGGAGCACAGGCTCCGGACGCGCAGGCTCAGCGGCCATGGCTCATGGGCCCAGCCGCTCCGCGGCATGTGGGATCTTCCCGGACCGGGGCACGAACCCGTGTCCCCTGCATTGGCAGGCGGACTCTCAACCACTGCGCCACCAGGGAAACCCCTAAGCTTTTTTAAATGAAAACTTTTAAGCACGTAAGGAAGGGAGAAAGTGAAACCCACATACTCATCCGGAGATTGAATGCGTCGAGACTGAACATGTGTCAGGGACATGGTGCAAATGTGAGAGGGTGGGACGACAGGGGGCTGGCGTCTGGAGCTTGAGAGATGGGGGTCGTTACACAGAAGACCCTCACCGGTGGCTGGGAACGGGGATGAGGGATGCATCCACTGAATGATGACTACAGTGCACAGTTTTCTGGTACTTTCTACCTGGTGAGGAAGGGGGGTAGGTTTGGAGTGGGTGGCAGGAGCAAGGACGGGCGGGGGTGACAGAAGTACACATGCGTCTGGTGAGCTCCAGGGGGAGCCGGTAATGACGGCAAGGGCAGTACGGTCGGGCTGCCTGCAGCAGGGGGGCGCTGGGGAAATGACACTGCCATGTCCTCTCTGGTTCGTTAAGCAGGGAGGGAAAGAATGTTTATTCTTGGAGAGGATTTTGCGAGACTTGGTTTCACACAGGAAAAGCCAGTTTTTAGCTACTTTGGGGGAAGCAGAGTGTGGTTAAATGGAGGGAGTTTTGTCTGTAGGGGCTTATGGGCCCGTGGGGAGGAATTTATGTTGTGGGTGATGCCGGGGATTATGGAGACCTAGGGGCTAGGAGGATGCGTTACTGCATGGCTATGCATCGGGCACCTCTGAAGTCCTCATGAGACAGTCACAGCTGGCTCCTTAAAAGCGAGAGAAATACTAAAACAGTGAGTGCTCTGATTAACCTTGGGAGAAGTTTTGTTATTGACACATCCGGTTTTTATAATCCTGTGTTGGGCATCCTAGTCTTTCATTGAGGAATCTAAGAACTGGTGAGTTTCTTTCTGACTAGGCCCCATAATGCTCTTCTCCAAAGTTCTCCAGAATATGTGTTAGTAATTTCAGTTGTTCCAGCTTTTAGGCACTGCACCCTCTGTGAACATAGAATACATTGTCATGTCCCATTGTAGTTTTAGGCTAATGTCTTTGTGTATTTTTTTACCTTTTAAAATATTTCTTTGGTGGCACATAGGCTAATTGCCTCCGTGATTCCTGAAGCCAACCGTTAGGGTGGAAGGATGTTCTTTTTAAGTCTTGATCATTTATAACAATATACCAGCGCCCCAGTAAGTCAGTGGTACATGCTTCCAAATAAAGATAATTTCTGAAAAACATACACATTTACAGATGCGCTTAAAAGGACACTGGGAATTGAAGAGAGCGTTCATTTTAAATTGTAAAACAGACTAGCATTTGAGAATCTGCCCAGAACCAGGCATTGTGCTAAGTGCTTCCCATTATCTCATTTAATTCCCACAGTGATGTCGAGGAGCCAGTAATATAGCTATTCCCATTTTTTTTTTAACTGGGCCTCAGAAATGTTGAGTGACTTTCCAAGGAAGGGTCACACAGCAAGTGGCACAATCAGAATGCAGTCTTGGTCTTGCCCATGTGGCACACTGCCAGTCAGTAACTCACTGCAAAATGAGTATAGTTTTCCACATATTTTCATAGAAGAGGAAAGTGACACACATGAGCAGGAAGAACGTTAGAAATGTAAAAACAAGCCCTTAGACTTTACAGAGTTTTCCCTCACTACTTAAGCTCTTTATCGTTACATCGCTGACCATTCATCTGTGCATGAAAAATGTCTAAATGCCATTTAATTTTCATTTAGCAAACAATAAAAGCTAAAATTTTTTTTAAAGAATGCCAAGATAAATGGAAAATAGATGCTTTAATTCCTTAAATGTCAAGTTTCTGTTGAGCATTTTCTTCCATTTGCTGCTTCAGAAGTCACATACTAATTAAAACCAAAGTGAACTTTTTGAGCTCCTAGTCACTGCTCTCAAATTGCCGGCTGGCACAGATGTGAGAGTCACTGAGACACTTCGAGGTTTTTTTTTTTTCTTTTTTTGTTCTACCTTAAGTAGGTTTTTTTTTTAAACGTCTTTATTGGAGTATAATTGTTTTACAATGGTGTGTTAGTTTCTGCTGCATAACAAAGTGAGTCAGCTATACGTATACATATATCCCCATATCCCCTCCCTCTTGCGTCTCCCTCCCACCGTCCCTATCCCACCCCTCTAGCACCGAGCTGATCTCCCTGTGCTATGCGGCTGCTTCCCACTAACTATTTATTTTACATTTGGTAGTGCATTTAAGTTGGTTTTAAATATTTATCCTACTCAGTTTTTAAGGAATTCTCATTCAGTAAGAATGATGGGGGCTTCCCTGGTGGCGCAGTGGTTGGGAGTCCGCCTGCCGATGCAGGGGACGCGGGTTCGTGCCCCGGTCCGGGAAGATCCCACATGCCGCGGAGCGGCTGGGCCCGTGAGCCATGGCCTCTGAGCCTGCGCGTCCGGAGCCTGTGCTACGCAGCGGGAGAGGCCACAACAGTGAGAGGCCCACGTACCGCAAAAAAAAAAAAAAAAGAATGATGGGGCTGCGGTCTTTTGTAAATTGGCTAGGGAACATCTGTGTCTTCGTTACAGTCTATTCACAAATCAATACATTATTACTCTGGGTATCACAGACTTTAATGTCCACCCTAGTTAATATTTTTTTTGGCAACTGTATGGACTGGAGTGGCTTTCTGGGAAGGATGTGAGTCATTTTCTTAAGTGGATACTAACTCACATGTATGTGTCTGTGACAGTGTCACGTGTTATGCTCTACTGTTGGCACACAGCTCTCGGTTGTTTACCTTTTGGGCACGTCGTCGTTGTCTTCTAACATCAGTTATGTTCTCAAAAGGCTGGAGAGAGAGGAATTGCAAAGAAAGGCAGAGGGGGAAAGACTTCGCCTAGAAGCCGCAGCCCGTAAGCAGGAAGAGGAAAAGAAGCGGCAGGAGGAAGAAGAGAAAAGGAAGGCGGCAGAGGAGGCCACGCGGCGGGCCAAGGAGGAGCTGCTGTTGAAAGAAGAGCAAGAAAAGGAGAAGCAAGAAAAAGAAAAGCAGGAAAAGGCCATGATTGAAAAGCAGGTACTGTGCAAGTCTTTATATAGACTTTCCTTAAGGGCCTTAGTTAGTATTAGGTAAAATTAGTTAAATTTGGATGACTCATAATGTTTACTTGAAGTTTTTCTTTAACTGGGCTAGTTAATAAATATGAGTTACTTTGGGCAGCAGAAGTGAAGTTGGTAGTATTTGCTGTAGGTCCGTTTGGGTTCCCCCGAAGGCAGACCCTGGATGAGAACTTGGGTGCCAGTAGTTTATTTGGGAGATGATCGCAGGAAGCTGGTAGGGGAGTGACAGGAAAGCACATTGGTGAGTGGGTTACTGTGGGCAGCTGGAACTTGCTCCCTATGGAACTCTCTGAGAGACTGTGGACCATGCCTTAGAATTATCCCCCTGCGTGGTGAGGAAACTAGGTTGTCTTCCAAGTCCTGCCCCTTATGGTTGCAGGTCACTGAGGGGAAATTAACTTCCTGAAATTTCTAGCCACATGCATACTTACGGCCAGAGACTACCCTCAGACACAAAAAGACCTTGACCTTGTACGTAGACTGTCTGCAGGTGATTTGCATGGTGGACCGAGGTCATATGAGTGAGACCCAACCATATCTGCTGTGTCATAGAGCAGGGTGTGTAAATCCACATTGAATATTGGAGCAACACCCACTTTTCGGTAGATGATGAGGTGGAGGAATATAGGTGCAAACCCCAGGGAATTAACTAGCGTTTTCTTTAGCTTAGTAAAGCCTATCCCTTCTTTTACATGTTTCTACCAGAAGGAAGCAGCAGAAGCAAAGGCCCAGGAGGCAGCTAAACAGATGCGTCTAGAAAGAGAGCAGATCATGCTGCAGATTGAACAGGAGCGACTGGAGAGGAAGAAGGTAAGGGCTAAGGGATCAGGAGTACTTAGGGTGAGGCAGGGACAGGAAGTGAGTCCAGTTATGTTCTGCAGTTGTTGGGTTCGGTGCTCTTAGAATTGTTATTTAGGTTGATTTCGTTGATCATACTGTTGTGTCTTTATTAGTTTTCTGTCATCTTGTTCTTTCATTTACTGAGAGAGGGGTATTGAAAGCTCCATCTGTGATTATGGATTTCTCCACTACTCCTTCCAGTTCTATACATTTTTGTTTTTATATACATAATTCGAAGCTCTACTGTTAGGTGGATTTATATTTCAAATTATTAAATTTTCCCATTGAATTACCCTTTTATCATTATGAAACGTCCTTCTTTTTTTTTTTTTTTTTTTTTTTTTTTTTGGTACACGG